TGTGAGTGTGAGTGTGAGTGAGTGTGTGTGTGTGTGTGTGTGTGTGTGTGTGAGAGTGAGCGGTCAGTAATACATGTGTGTATGTGTGTGCGTGTGTGAGCGAGCGGTCAGTAACGTGTGTGTGTGTGTGTGTGTGTGCAGACAGCATCAGAAACAGCTGCAGCAAACACGTCACTGCTGCTCGAGTCCGTCTCGCCCCACGCATCTCAACGTTCACAAGAACACAGACGTGGATGTCATCGCTCAGGCAGGTCAGATCAGTGAAAGACTCACGCTGAAATCACTTATTCACTGTTCTATGTGGTTTTCAGCACAAATGTCTGCATCTCTTTCACCAATAACCTGCAATCCAGTTAAATGGGCACAGTGCTGACATTGCACCGCATCTTCAATATTTGAATGAAGTCATTGATGTTCCTCTCTAGAGGCATCTTTACACATGCTCTTTACGGTATCGCAGTGCTGGGTAAATGCATTTATGCCACCTCTGAGCAGTATTAACCAGTCTGTGTAAAGACACTTAAAATGCCACCTCTGACCCTTTGCAGTGACAGTTTGGCAAATGTGAACGTGTAATGCTCATTATAGATGCTGCTTCATTCAAGATAAAAATGCCTGGCTAATAAACCCCGGAGGTGAATTAATGTACCCCATGCTGTATATAAAAAGTGCACTTTTTTAAACAATCATTACAGAAATCATTTTAAAGACATCGCCATCGCCCATGTTTGAGAGGAAGGATATATCAAACAAGAATATTTGAGTTAAATGAGATGAAATGATTCCATTTATATGCTTGCATCTGTCCAGGGTGTCCGCGGGTCCTTAAAAAGTCTTAAAATGTCTTAAATAACGTTTTCCTACTATAAGGCCTTAAAAAGTCTTAGTGGTATTAAAAAGGTCTTAAAAAGTCTTAAATTTAACTTGTTCAAATCTGCAGAAACCCTGCTGTCATTTGGGTGCAAATTGACATCAGTGCTATTTTTAGTGTCAGGTTTGAGTCATTGCCTGATTTCTGTTGTTAAAAGTGTAGATAGACATCTTTTTCCTATTATTGACCAATTTCTCTGCTATCCCAGTTCTCAAAAAGTTTTGAGAAATTATTTGTACGCAGGCTTGATAATTTTAGGGCTGCAATGATTCCTCGATTCTATTCGAGTATTCAATTAAAAAAAAAGAAACCATTTAATTTTGCCTGTGTCGAGTAATCTAATAAATACCGGAAGTGGCGCATTTCACGGACGAGAATCCATGAAATGCATTATTAAACTGTTTTCCAAGGCTGCATGATATATTAAACCCATTTAAAAATCATAATAAAGCATAATGCTATTGTGAATTCACAAACGCTACGATTCAATTAAATAAATGTATGCGATGCAGGTTTAATATGTGCTTTAATTATTTACATGCATGTAGGTTACGTGCGTGTGTATCAGAGCGGCTCCGTTCACAGTAAACGCTGCTCCACACAAACTCTTATCATTTACACGTGTGGAGCGTCTCAAACTCCATCTCTGCATGTTGTTGTCAGTTTGGGTTTATTATAACGTTCATCTGGGAACGCAGCGTGTGCAGGTGAATGGCAGTGATGGAGCTGGTAGAAGATATTTTCACCCCAGTGGATTATACTGAATACACTGTGGAGGTGAATAAACTTCAGACACTATTGATTGTTTATTAATGAGGAAGCTGGAGAGATGTGGTATAAGAGGAAAAGCCTTCTCTTGGTTAAGAAGTTACTTTGATGATAGATATCAATTTGTACAAATAAATAATAATACATCAGATTTAATTAAAGTCACTTGTGATGTTCCACAAGGTTCGGTGCTAGGCCCCTAATTGTTTGTACTTTATATAAATTATATTTGTAAAGTGTCTCCAGCATTACAAATTGTTCTGTTTGTTGATGACACAAATTTATATTGTTAGGGAAAAAATTTGGAACAGATTCTGTATACAGTGGAAATCGAATTGATAGTCTTAAAACAAAAAAGTAGTATGATGATAATTGACTTTAAATAAATGTAACTAAAAGTTCATAATAATCAGTAAACAAAGTAATAACAAAGCTAAAATTAGAATTAATAATGAAGAAATAAAAAGAGTGTATGGGAATACATTTCTGTGTGTTATAGTAGATCATTCATTGCAGGAAATCCATTGTAACAGTAAGAAATCTGAATCCATCGCAATATTAAATACCAAATAAATACATGTTTCAAATCAAAACTCACATAGATTGTACTGTTAGGTCATAGTTCCATACATGAATTATTGTGTGGAGTTATGGAGTCATACATATAAAACTCTTAAAAGCAGTATATACATTACAGAAGAGAGCAGTTGATTGTAAAACGTAAAAAGTGAAAATACAGACAAAGATAAAACAAAACAAACTGAAAAATTCAACAAGTAAATAGAAAAATAAGACAATTACAAAATAATAATAAAAAAAATAAGCTTTAAGGGAAGATTTACATCACTAAGGGATTCTGCTTGCCTAATCTCGGCAGGCAAAGCATTCTAACATTTTGGAGCAATTGAAGAAAAAGCCCCATAGACTTTAAATGAGTAAACGGAACAATTAAAAGGCCAGCTTCAGAGGAGCAGAGATCACGCGCCGTTGTGTAAAAGGGTTAAAAGCTCAGAGAGATAATGAGAAGCCAAACCATGCAAAACCTTATATTTTACACGGCGTCTGACGAAGCCAGTGTAAAGACTTCAAGACAGGAGTGATGTGATCCCTTGTCCTGTTTCCAGACAGCATTGAGCTGAATTCTGAGCCAACTCTAATCTATTTAGGGAAGCTTCTGAAACCCTGGCCAGCAAAGCATTGCAGTAATCAATGCGAGAAATACAAAGATGTTAATGAACTTGTGTTGTTGTAGAGTCTAGTTAGTTCTTTCATTGAATCAGGCACTAATTAATCTTTAGTGAATCTGCCCTTCAGTGTTTTTCTGGCATTTTGTCCGGTAGTGATTCGTTCTTCATTATGATTGTAGATGTGGATCCAGGAGTTCAGGTAAACGCGTGGATGAGCTCTGTGTCTTCAGCCATGATCGCTGCGGCTCGTCTGCCGCCCGCCGCTGAAGACGGGATGATTCTGGAGGATGTGCAGACCGATGAGGAGAAGCTTCATGGCAGTCTGCTGTCCTCTGAGTCTGCTTTCTTGCCCTTTAACCCTGCTGTTCATCCAGCTTCAGCTCCTGACAGCGGGGAGGAGGAGTTTGATGATTCTCTGGCTCCTCCCACATCAATACAGCCCCGCCCATCGGAGGAGGAGTCAGTGGGCGGAGCCGTCCTCAGCTCTCTGACGCACGGATCGGATCATGCGGAGCGGACTGACAGAAGTGGTGATGCTGTGCTACAGAACGGTTCTGCGGAGGACTCAGACTGGACTGGGACGCAGAAAGCTGCTGCGCTGCAGTGTGAACCGAGCGAAGCAGCTGTCAGGATCCAGTCGTGGTGGAGGGGTCACTGGACGCGGCTCTGCCACCCACAGGCCAAAGAAGTGCGTGCTGAGATCCGCTCGCGAAGGATGCAGGATCACATCGTCCACCTGACCGCGGAGCTGGAGAGGTCAAGCTCTTCACTGTTTACATGTTTGTGCATCAGGTTATGAGCTGGAAAGGGATGCAGATTTATCTGAATCATTCTGGTTTATTTGTGAATCACTGTTTTATTCCAGTTGTTAGCCGATTAGTTCAAACGTAAAATCAAGTTCAACAATACTGTAAGCTGAAACCGTGTAAAGTGTTTCGCAGTAACTCGTATGTTTTGCAGGGTGCGCAAGCAGCAAGAAGAAGAGCGACTGCAGAGACGTGTTCAAGAAGAAGCTGTTAAGTTCCTGTGGAAGCAGGTCGGTGTGAAGATGAGGAATGATGAATACTGCTGTGTCCTGCTGTGAATACACTGTGTGCTGTGTTTGTGGAGCAGCTTCAGGTGATGCTGGAGTGGCAGTCGTCTGTGAAGGAGCGGCTCAGTGTGGCACAGAGTTCAGCGTCAGATCCCAGCATTCCCGCAGAGACTCCTGTCCGCACGGAGATCTCCATCCCGGAGTCTGGCTCTCATTCCCCGGGAGAGCGAGCAGCGGGGGACAGTGTGCTGGAGCAGACGACAGAACAGCAACACCTCCAGATCCATCCCATCTCTCTCCTCATGGGAAAGAAGAGTGCTTGTCCTGACCGGAGTGGAAGCAGACGTCGCGCTGCTGAAAGTGTTTAGGAATCACAGGACTCTGCCGGACTCGTGTGCCCTGCCTCCGGCTCTTCTTGAAGATCAGACACTGTTTTAATCACTGGCCTTCAGCAGACTCGTAGCCTTTATCTCCATGCTGTCAGCAGTCAGACACGGAGTGAAGAAGCTCGTGTTTAACTGCACAGTGCTGCCTTTGGGCTTTCTAACACTGCTGGATATCAGCAGACAGATTTCTGTCTTTACACACCCAGGGAGCCAGGCTCTTTCAGTGCACTTAGCAGTAGACTTGTTTCCTTTGGAACGACACGACCAGACGTAGCCTTGAACTGTGGAGGAGCACGTATGTATGTATGTATGTGAAATTAATGTGAATTGATTTGATAGTCTGCTGCAGTTCAAAGCTACTGAGAGCTGTAAATATTTCTGTGTGTGCGTCTGGATATTTACAGTTTGTGCTGCAACTAGTGTTCAGTGTGGCATATGCAAGTTTTTATTTATTTTACATTTTTATTCTTTTTTCTATGTTATATATTTTAAAATTCATTTTTGTAAATAAAGTTTGACTTTCACCATTGTGGTATTTTGCATCAGTACTTCAGCACAGAAAAAGTGTGAAACACTTAGGATTACTGTGAACTATAACAATATTTATATTACAGTCACGTCTTGCAGCTGGATCTCTAACTAACACTAGATGGAGCTCATGATATAGACTACCATTATTAATTAATTCATTCGCTTTTATTAAGAATTATAAAATAAAGTAATTTAATTACTTTGTCTAGTTTCTCTTGGTTGCTCTTGCTGAAATAAAACGGTCAAGTCATCAAATGTTAATAAATGTTGGCTGGATTGGATCAGTCAATACAAGCCGAAACGTTCCGTTCATGAAGATCTCGATGGTTCTTTGTTCACTGATTAGATTTACACTAAAACAAGAAACCTCTCGTGTTGTTTTGATGACATTTTAATTGTTCATGGTTTTGGATCGCGGAATGCTGAAGGAGCGTCGTGACGTCACGCCACACGTCACTCGCGAATAAGTTCATCAGCGAGCGTTGCGTCGCGTCATTCAGACCCAACGCTCGCTCGCTCGCGCGTCACAGCAGCAGATGATGATCATCGACGGAGTTAGTGAGGGATTGTCCGGTGTTCTGGACCGGGACAGCGATGTGATGACCAGTCCGGTGCACCTGCTGTCGTTCTACCGGTGCGCTTCTCCCGCGGAACCGAATCTGTCTGACTCGGATCAGAGCTGGAGCAGCGGTAGGGACAATTATTAATTACGACACCCTTCTAATATTTAATTAACCATACTGAAGTGCTGTGTTTACACGGACCGTGTCAGGAAAACTGCTGGAGAATAAAACCTGCAACGTTAGTTCAGTTCGGTTCAAGTGTAAGTTATTTGTAAAGCGCTGTTCACGATACAAATCGTTGCAGAGCAGCTTTACAGAAAATGTAAGTTTCTCTATTATACATCAGTGGCGACTGTGTCAGGCTGATGTCCATATATCATGCAGTTAGTTAATGACGGTGATAGATCGATGTGTGTAATCACGGGAGACTGTTTTCAGTGGCTTTCAGAGGACAGCAAACTGATTAAAGTAAATAAAGTTTAATCAAAGCGTTTTCCTTCTCAGTGGAAGCGTGTTGTTATCAAGGCGTGCGCGTGAAGAACTCCATCAGAGAGCTGATCCTGCAGAAGCACAGCCAGGTACAGCTCATATTATCACAGGTTTATGACATGATTTGAATTAATCCACTGCTGTTTTTTATGCTGTTGCAAATGAATTATATGCTTCATCACAGGCTCAGCAATATCAAGTCGAAAATGAATGTCCAGGTAACTGCATCAATTATGCACTTATGATTTGTAATAGAAACAGGAAGTCGTTTGTCAAAAATTACCGGATAATAATTTTCTATTTCATTGTAGCTATAATGCATGCGCTGCAGAGAAGGAAGAGGGAACTGGAGAATGTGTGTCTCTGTCCTGGGAAACGACTGCGAGTCGCAGACGCAGACGGCCTGGTGTGTTTCACTGCTCCATTATCTGTTTTTAGCTCCGCGCTCTAGATTCTGAGGCCTGTCAAAGACACTGACATCTGTCTGCAATTCTGCTGGAAAAAGATCCGTGTGGGTTTTATTCCAGTGTTTCCCATATTTATATGAACATTAAAGCATGTCAACATATTCTGTTACACCAAATGCACAAAATAATGATCTTTAAAAAAGCATCATATGACCCCTTTAACACTTTGACTTCATTGAATAAACATGAGCGCTGCATGTTTCAAAATCAAAACACGGCGCGGCTTCTTTTCTAAGAATGTATCTTTGACTGTCTTCAGAAAAGCCTTGATGTCATTTTTATTTCATCTTTTTGATCAACTATAATGGATCAATAATATAATATTCTGGCGCTCCAAACCACCGCCCAATGAAGCTTTCGCAAATTATGGGAGTAACTTCTGTTTACACTGTAAACAATCAGCCAAAGGTTTGCTCTATGAATGCAATAATGAGCATTTTCAAAAACTGAGTACAATGAGGTGACATTATTTTACTCGCCCTTCAACCATCGATCATTAAAAGCAAATTTAAAAGTGTAAAAGCATTAACAAATTACTTTCAACACACCACGAATAACTCGTAAAGATTCCCCTTCTATCCACAGCAATATTAAGGACGTGTTAAATATCATTATAGTAATGTCTATATTTCGTAACAATTACATTTTACAGCATTCGTGTGAAAACAAACCTGGAAAGAGACGTGAGGATTTGGGGAGAAAATTGAAAGATTCTTATCGCGTTCCAGGGAATTATTCGTGGTTTATATCCTAAATTAAATCGGGAGAGCAGAGCACAAATGCACAGTATATGTCTTTTTTCTTTTACTTACGGTGGATATTGTTGTTATGTCACGTCACATTAATATACCAAATGTAACATTATTCTCCTAACTTCTGAAAAGAGAAAATGATGGATAAGGATTATTTGTAGCGCAATTTGAAATGATTTGTTGCAGTCTTTTTGAGTGAAACTTCCCCAAACCGGAAGAGCCTCCCATAATGTCAAACGCAGTAGGCTCGTTAGGAGAAAGGTGGATAGCGCCTCCTGGTGGCAGAGAATGAATTCACATTTTCAATCAGCCTGTCTGCTGTATGTATATATATATATCTCTCTATCCGTCCCCCGGGGGAAGTGTCCCACACATAGAGTGTAAGTCTGTGGGAAACACTGCTATACAGTTTAATTAGAATCACAACAGAGCAGCTCAGAATCTCTCAGAATGTTTTAGATGAGCAGAGAAACACTGGTGTAGAGCGCAGTTGACTTTAGACTCTAAATAATTAGTGTAAGTGGGTTTACATTCGATGTCCAGAGTATGAATGAAGCCGCTTGCTCCGTGTCTCTAGTTTCCGTGCGGCGAGGACATGTTCTGTGACGCTGAGATGCTGGAGGACATCAGGGACGTTCTGTCCAAACAGCGGCTCTCCATCGAGTCTGTGACGGTCAGAGGCTCTCCTCAGGATCTGTGCGCTGAAGCCCAAAGCCATCTGAACACACAGCCTTCCTCGTGCGGCCTCAGCCTGACCGCTGCGCCTCCGGTCTCCTTCTTCCAGTGGCAGATCCAGCAGGAGGAGGTGAGACTGGCAGCTGTGAGCCACGAGCAGCTCACCGCTCGAGACGCAGACGGAGACACGTGAGTGCTCTTACATGCATTACACACTTCGATCAGTGCTGTCTGAGCTCTCACAGGTGGCTAGGCTGTTCTGTTGGATCACATGTGTTCAGAGGAACGTGGCCTCGAGTCGTTAGCTGACTGTCGACTGATTACAGGTTCTTGCACATCGCGGTGGCTCAGGGCAGAAGAGCTCTGGCGTATGTCCTCGCCAGGAAAATGGCTGCCATCGGCGTGCTGGACATGAAAGAACACAACAGCCGGGTAGAGCCAAAAACACTCCCATTGCAGCCATGAGCCTGTCTGTGTGTCCAGCTCTGTCAGGAACACACCTGCGCACACGCCCTGTGATTAACAGTGATTCACGCTTGTCCTCGCAGAGCGCCTTCCAGCTGAGCGTCGCTGCAGACCAGCACCTGATCGCTCAAGACCTGCTTGTGCTGGGAGCCGAGCTCAACACCAAGGACTGCTGGGGCCGGGCCCCGCTCCACGTCTGCGCAGAGAAGGGCCACTGCTCCAGCCTGCAGGTATATGCTCACATCTGGAGGTGTTCTCAAACACTAGATCATCAGATTTAACTCTTCAGACGTTCACAGTGGCTAGATTAGACATACTGTGTGTGCCTAACATTTCATTCAGTTTGATGAGTCTGTTTTTCTATTTTTAAGCAGCCATCTGTCCAATGAAGTGAAACACCTTAAAGAATCAGAGCATATGATCTCAGCTAATATTAATAAAACAAATAAACCTGTGCATTCAGAATGATAACGGGTACAAGGCTCACTGCAGTCCACACATAAACACTCTCGAAAATTGTAATTGATAATTGCATCTTGGTTTAAGTACACAACCACTAACTGACCAGTTAGATGTTGAATAACTAGTTGACTAGCTTGGCCTGTCCCTACAGTCATTAACAGCACAGTATTTCCTTATTAACCTGCGTCTGCATCTGTTAGCCGCTGTTTTTCCTCTTATCATTTTCTCATCTTCTATCAACAGTCCTCGTCTATCATTCTGTCAGATGCTCAGTGTTTATTTAACCAGCCGCTAACTGACTTCCTCATAACATGCTTAACTAATATGCATTTCCTCAAAAAAGAGTCACGCAACACAGGCAGAAATTCCCTCTCCTGGCCGCACTACACAGCTCTTTTGATAAGATTTCTGTCAGACATTAACTGTCGACGAGTCGTGGCACGCAACCATCCGCTTCTCCCAGAATGCCATGGGGCAGTACGTGTTGAGATCTGTTTTCTAGAGCTTTCTTGTGAATGGTGTGAATAGCAAACTCACGGTTTCTCCTCAGGCCATCCAGAGATGCTTGCAGACGAGCCGTCAGCCGGTGAACGTGGAGGTGGTCAACTATGACGGTCAGTGTCTTTGAGAAACGGCTCATCTGTGCTCTAGGGCTGTCAGAATGGCTGAAAAACTACATTTTGTACTTAAATATGATCAATATATGAATTATATACAAATTTAAAATGCATAATTTCAGTTCGGGGGATAAACGCTTTTGGCTTCTCTCCTGAGGCCACAAGAGGGCGCATAAAGCTAAATATTACTAATGCACGTCTCTCCAAAGCAATAAAATAACATGACTATCTTAGAAAAAAAGTGCATAATGTTTAAAATAATGTTTATAAACCAAGTATAATTAATTAGGTTGCTTAAACAATTAGAAACAAACCAGCATCATGTCTGTATGCAAAGTTTAATACAAAGGACCAAAAAACTAATAACAAAAGAGTACTTTTTTCATTTAAAAACATGAGAAGCAGTGGGATGGGGAAAAACCGCCATAAAGTTTGAGACATGTTTTTTAAAAGTTGAACTTATATTAATTTTACATGGTTTTCTAAACATGCGTCTCTCAGCAGGGATAGATGTCCCTCTAGAGAAAGCGATATATAAGCGTTCTGTGTGAATGGCTTCAGTTTTGCCGTTAACAAGATCTTCTCCGTCTGTAGCCTAAAGGATAACAAAAGCATTAAATACATCGACACTTACATCGTCATCGCATCTCGTGCGCCGCTGATAATAAGGCAGCCTGACGCACACCTAACATTCAAATGCTACGTTTTTGCATTTAAATGTGGATTTTTATTTTAAATTTGACAAATATTCTAAATTCAAATTTTTATTTGACAGCCCTACTGTCCTGTTACTTCATGTAATGCATTCTCACACGGCTGATGTTGGAGCGCAGTAAAGCATGCGGAGTGTTGTGTGTTTGCAGGACTCACGCCTCTCCATGTGGCGGTGCTATCCCACAATGCCCTGCTGCAGGAGCTGAGCCGTGGCCCTCCGTCCGCTCAGAGTCCGGCTCTGCTGCAGAAGAAGAAGCTGCTCTCTGAGTGTGTCAGCACTCTGCTGCTGATGGGCGCCTCGCTGGAAGCCAAGGTTTGTAATGGCTTTACTGGTTATAATGGGACTTGTATTGGTTTTAATGGAGACTGTAATGGACCCTGCGGGTCTCTACTGGTTACTGGTCATCTTCTGTTGGTGGTTTGTTAAAACCAATAAATCCTAATGGAATATGTTCCAAAACACACTACAGAAAACCATTTTTTTATGTTTTAATGGTTAAAAGTTGATGGTTTGTAATGGTATTTGTAGTGGAAACCATTAGAATTTCTGGAATTTCTTAGGAGTTCTCGTCACTGCTCCTAACGTTTCACAGATTTAAGGCTTGTTCACACCGGGACGAATATCGCGCGCGATTATCTCCGACGTTTAACGCCTCGTGACTAAACAAAGGGCGCCAATGTGAGTGTGCACACCGATGCGCAAAACGCGAGGAGTAAAAGCGTAATTTTTTTTTAAACGCCCCGGGCTCGTTTTTTTGGTTTGACACACCGCGTTAAAAACTGGCCGACCAATGAGATTGGCTCTTTTGTTCACGTGCCTGGAGCTGCTGAAGTTACAGTAAAACACGACTTGGTGGCGCTCAAGCACAAAACGGTCTTGCCGAGCACACATTCATAGCTAACGACGAAGAGGAAGTAAGTAGGCCAAGAAGATGCATCGAGGCAAGATGAATGTAGAGCTGCTGGTCTCATTGGTGTCTGAACACAAAGGGCTTTATGACAAACGCGACAGCGACTACAAAAATCTCGATAAGAGGGAGTTGTTATGGAGGAATTGCAGATCAAATAGGATTCGATGTGTACCGGGGTATTTCTGTTTTTCATTAAGCGCCATCTAATGTCAGGGAGTGAATTTGCACGTTCACTCGGCTCATCGCCAATGAAAATCGCTTGGGTATGAACACAAAAGACGCGTTGAAAAACGTCGGCGATAAGCTCGCGCGATAATCGTCCCGGTGTGTACGAGGCTTTAGAAGCTAGTTTTAGTGCTAGAACGCTTTGTGAAATACTGTTAGAGCAAAAATTTAGGAGTCCTACATTTAGGACTGACACGCCCATTATTTTTAAGATTTTCTCCTAAATCGGCGAGTTATGAGCTACTTTTAACCTTAACTCTTTCCTGGCCAAACATGGAATTTTCCGGGTTTCCGTGTTCTCGCTGTTATACGCTAGGGGGCGCTATTACGCATCTCCTGAATGAGTCTAGAAAGTGCCAATCAAAAACACAGACCAGGAAGACGCAGAAACCAGCGATCTCAGATGTAAGAGCATGCATATGAAAAATAATGCAATTATCAACACTAACCGCATATAAATGAAAACTGCCTAATGTTAGCGAGTGAAATGTGGATCCAGAAAGAGCTGTGCAAGCTTTGGGAGCGCTGATGGAAGCCATCTAATGCAGCTTTGCTTTGATAATATTACTGAATATGATCCAGACGTAGTAGTTGATAAAAATGCAATTTTCTCAGCTTTTTGCTCAAAATGTTGCTTTTTTTATGAAACCTACCTACATTCAAGTGTTGATAAAAAACAATGCTTGAAGCTAGAATAAAACAGATTTTTTGTTTAAAAGTAGAGGCAACTTTTTTCAAAAGCGCTGGCGTGGAAAGCGTTCAGCTGTTTTGTGAATGCAGCCCAGGTGTGCTGTGTGTGTTGTGTGTGTTGTGTGTGCTGTGTGTGCTGTGTGTGTGTGTGTGTGTGTGTGTGTGTGTGTGTGTGTGGTGACTCGCGTGTTTCCCGTGTTTCTAACAGGACTGTAAGAGCGGCCGCACCGTTCTGCATATGGCCGCCGAAGAGGCCAACGTCGAGCTGCTGCGCCTCTTTCTGGATCAGTCCAACTACTTCTCGCTCATAAACGCCAAGGTGAGTGTGCGGTGCTGTGTCCAGCGCTGGTGTGACCTCTGACCTCTGACCTGTGCTCTGACCCGCAGGCGTTCAGCGGGAACACGGCTCTGCACATGGCCAGTGCTCTGCAGGGCCGGCGAGCTCAGCTGGACACGGTGCGACTGCTGCTGAGACGAGGAGCCGATCCCAGCGCCAGGAACCTGGAGAATGAGCAGCCGGCCCAGCTGGTGCCCCACGGGCCTCTGGGAGACCAGGTCAGAGAACCAGCGCTTCTGCGTCTCAAGCTCAGCTTCATGCGTTCACTCGGCCGCCGCTCCAATCTAACATACTGTAGACGATAACACCACTAGTTATTATTAACATTGTATCGTCCATATCTTTGAAAAAGAGCATATGAAAATGAATTGCTCTGCTAGCAAGTTAATTTCCTCATCCAAATGCATCTTAATGCAACAGATACCCAACATAAAAATAATATTACAATATTAAATCCGTCGACACAAAATAGCTACGTTTACATGGACACTTTGTGCTTCCATCGGAATGAATTCATTCTGATTGACGAATCTGAGCGTAGTGTTTACATGAACACTAAATAAAGTTTATAAAACAGATAGCTCCGGTGCTTGATTCTGATTGGCTGAGCTGCGTTCGAAGCTGTTGTAAATGACTCTACAAAGTAACATACACCTTTGTTTACGTTTGTGTGTTGCTCGGCAACCACTTTGTAGCAACCACAACTGATTCTGAGGAGCTACATTGTTTGGTGGAAGAATACTGTTTTTATTAATATCATTACACTTTATTTGCTCTGTTTTATTTTGTGAAACCTTACTACGTATATGGAATAACCAGTTTATAAAAGCAATAATCCCCGTGTAGCCGCGGTTTACAGTGAATTTATAACAGCTAAGGGGGTTTTAGACACTCCGCTTCGCGTCACAACGCCCCTTAGCTGTTATAAATTCACTGTAATCCACGGCTTCACGGGGCTTATTGCTTTTATAAAATTGCTTTATTTTATATGTCACAAGGTTCTGATCGGATTGAATCTTTTGACATGCGCACACTTGCTTCTTACTTTATAGACCGTCGTCTGTGGATGAGAGTCTTAAACAAGGACTGCTGGGACGTTGTGCTGCTTTACTTCACAGACGCTGAGTGAAAGCAGAATTTTACAATGACTCAGTAACTCATTTAGGACACTTTATTCACCAGAGCAGCTCTTTTCTTTTTAGGTCACTGCACATGTGCAGTATTTTCCACTTTTCGATCCGACCAAGTGTTTGCATGTCCTCTCGCTCGGATTACAAAAGGAATAAAGCACCCCTTACAATCCAATCGAAATCTGAATCAGAGCTGGCCAATTCAGTCCGATTGACGAGGTTTTATTCAGATTGTGCTTCTAGTCCTATTACGATCGGATTGTTAGAGTCCATGTAAACGCAGCTCGTGATGTGAACGCTCTTCCCGTAATGATGCACAAAGACTTTACTAAAACTCTCTATTACAGCGCTGATCTGATTATAATAATACGTATACGTTAGATTAGTGCACTAGACTGTATTTTCATCATCGTGTGATTCATGTGGACGCCATCGCTAACCAGTCAGACCAGACGATGATGTTTGAGATTCCCTGAGCTGCAGCACTCACAGATTACTCTGAAGCGTTGGAGTCAGTGGAGGAGCGCTGGAGGACTGAATCACTGACCCATGTTTCTCTGTTCTTTCCTCAGGTGCGTGGGATCCTGAAAGGTAAAGGAGCGCAGTCCCGCTGGTGAGAATCGCTGTCAGTCAGGCAGCCGTCTGTGTACACATTCATTTGCCGCCGCAGGCAGATGTCGGTTGTTTCCATGAAACAGTCTTATTGTTCACTACTGAGTAGTAGACGGCACAGGAACGTGAGAGCAACGCTTCAGAAGAGGAATCCAGTGCTATGAGGAAGCTAGGAGGGATTATTCAGAAAGCAATAATAAATGAGGAAGAAAGTAAATCTTCTCTTGTTCGTTAGCAGATCTGAAGCGTTGCATTTGGCTCTGGTGTGTAAAAGTTTGTCAACTATAATCTCTAAACAATCGAACTATATCCGTATTAATATTATTATTACTCTGCTGTGTGTTTTGTCAGAAGGTTAAACATGAGATGATAATCAGTAACTTTAAACCTGTTGAACAAGAACATCCTGATTGTTGACTTCAGGCGTGTTTCAGCGTGTTATTTTGGGACTTTCTTTCATTGATAATTAACTTTTATGAGGTCGTGCCATTCTCCAGAAGTCCTCTGATTATTCAGTTTGATTGACTGCTATTCTCAGAATCAACAGTAAAATCCACATAAAAATAGGCTTAAAGGTGTTTCTTTTTATTGAAGACAGAGCGAGATGGTGTTAGTGCATTATAACATATTACACGTATCTGCATGATATTGCTGATGCATTTTTGTGGTGATGGGATTAGTATATATTGTTATTCTTTCTCTCTTTATGTATGTAAATATAACGTCATTCAGCTTTATTTTTCACTGTGCATCAGGAGCGGGTCGTTTGTGTTTCGTTTGATGTTCTGTGAGTTTAATTGTGAGCTGTAATTCAGTCTTAAATAAAGATTCCTTGTTCTGTTCTCGTGAGAGCTTCAGCCGAGTGTCAGATTTCAGAAGAGTGTCAAAACAAGAGAGCAGAAATCTGATCCAGACCAGGAAATAATTCGGCTGAAACACAAGCGAACATCTTACAGGAATTAAAGTAACAGTACTAAAGTGATTGCTCAGTGTTTATCTGGTGAAGTATTTGTCACGGCCGACTTCATCTGCTTCTCAATGTTGACCTTTCAATGCTTTTAAAGTCATCACAATGACAAAAACCCTCATTCATACACGACAGACCCACGGAAGCCACTCGAAACAGGTGTGAAAAGTATGTTTTATCAGAGGACAGCACGATTACTGTCACTCACAGACGGGAGATTAGTTTCTGGTGAAACTAGAGGAGTTTTGGGAACCAGCAAAAGCCTTTATATCATCAGCTATAACCTCGACTTCTGCACTTCCCTGGATTTTTTCTGTGTCACATTCCAGAATCCTTGTGTTTTTCTGGTCTATAAAAATAATCAAAATAGAAACATGAAACCACAATATTCTCATAGTTTCATTAACCTGAGCCAGATTCTCATTCAGTGTTAGTGTTTACTTGCACATGCCTTCATTTCATAAGTAACCTCTTGTATGATTAAAACAAAACGCTAAAGGCAGGACAACGATTATTCAAGTCAAGATCATCCACTCTTAAAAGTTCAGTTTGTGTAAATGTGAAGACGTTCATTCTCGGTAACCGCAGTTTGCTTGGTCTGTGTTTCTTAAAGAATAATCTAATAATAATCAAGCCCGGTTTGAGATTCAATCTCTGAACGTCTGATTGCTCATTCACTTTTCTGAATATTTGCCCGCATTGAGTCTGCTTACAGCAATGGCCATAAACTGTTAATAAGAGTTAATAATTAATACAAATCAATCTCAGGACACGATCAAACCCAACCTTGTGAAGCTTTATTCATGCGCTTCATGTTTAATGTGTGCAGTGAAAATAATCTGATGTGACGCTACTGTATCTTAAAATTAATAACTTCCACAATATTGTTATTTTTGTTGTACATCAAATAAAAGCACATGCCAGATTGTAATTTGTTGGTCTGGTTTGTGTTTCTTCTTCAGTGGATTTTCTGAAAGAGGCTCCACTTCTCCTCGAGTTTAGATGAAAGGTGAAGTGTAAACCGGTGTGTCTGCATGCTTGAGCTCAACAGTCTCTAAAGATCATTCAACAATAGCCTTTGTGAGGTTTACATGCTGGAGGCAGTTTGTGACATGACTTCACGTTATAGCTTTAACTGAACAACACGCTGAACTGACGAGCTAATCATCAACATTATTAACAGCAGGACGCTAAACACAAACGGAGCGACTACAGGAAGCTTTCTCTAATGCCTTTCTGATCACACTGACATTAAAACTTCATTTTTGTTGGTGGGTTCTCGTCACAGCTGATCTGGTCTCAGAGAGCCTCATGGGAACTCCCACTTCCTCCTGCAGGTGCCTCACTTCCTGTCCCAGTCAGATCCCCGCACTGATGTCTTTATATAGCGTATTCCACTCGAACTCATGACACACTCAAAAAACAAACATCTGATTCTTTCGTAATTCTGTTGATGGTTTATTGTTTCGGTCAGCTTCAGTACTACTGTCCAGAAAACACGCTGACCTTTGACCCGGCGGCGTGTGGTTACTCAACAGTGCAATAGAAGCGTTACTCCGGCTCATCTAATGTTAGGCGTCAGTCATTCGAGCATATCGCTGTTCACAACACAGCTTCCAGCTCTACAGAAATACATTCTGTAAATATTAGAATTAACCAAACTGTAGGAGCATCAGAGGAAGACTCCAGAAGATGATCTGCTCGCTCTGGGTCTGCAGCGGGAATATAAATGTGTTTAATACAGCCGGGTGTGCATAAAGACACTCGTGGGTGGGAAATATATAATTTAGTGATTCATGATGAATGAAATGGGTTTGTCAAGAGCCTCAGGATTAACACTAGTTACAAACAGAGCCAATAAAGACTGTGTCAGACTGTCAGTGTTTATGATATATATCTGACTAATAACTGATCAGTTACTCTAGTGTTTGTCTTTCGTTATAATGAACAAACACAGATACTGATGGAAGTCAAAGCTCTAGTTTCCACTGTTCATCTAATCTAGAACACGAGTTAAGCTTCATTAAATATTAATAATCTATAAACTTATATCTGAGTCTTTGCTAAAGATAAACCTGTTATTCGATAAGCCTTCAGTGCGATTTGATTGAAATGCAGTTAAATAAAGAGAGATGTTGACTTGCTCTCCGTCTTCAAAAAAACTAAAAACGTAAAGGCCGTAAAGTATTAGCAGACCTATTAAAACGCTTCTACTAAACTTTGCTCTCAAGCTGTTGCACTTTTCGCTGTTCTCTCGATAACTTTATCGTCTCTGCTCTAGCTCCGGTTTGTAATCACTGCAGCACGAGTGTCTCCCTCTGCTGTCGCGCAGTGTTACCGCAGCTGTCGCGCTGATATGCAGCAGTGTGGCATAAGCGCGCACGCTCCGCTTTCCGGCAGTGTGGCATTGCTGCTGGAGGAAGATGTCTGAATCTAACGCCGAGGCGGGAAACGAGATGCCGAATAACAAAAAGCAGAAATTAAGCAGTGATGAAAACAGCAACCCCGATCTGTCAGGAGACGACAATGTAGGTTAATTATGCTCTGAATGTGTTTAATGTGTGTGTTTGTGCAGCTGCTCGTCAGTGAAGTTTCTCTTTGTCTCTTATCGCGTGTTTCTCTTCAGAGCTAAACTCTCCTCAGGGTCAGTCATCCTGATTTAATGCACTTTTAATATGCTCTGTGTTATGTTATTACACACATGTGACTGTGTGTTTGTCAAGAATAACGTCAGTCTCATCTGACAGCTTCAGTTAGTGTGGTTTCAGGTATTTGTTATATAGATGATGATGATGATGATGATGAAGAAGAACACCGACACTAATGATATGAAGCACGATCGGTTTCTGCGAAGAGGTTTTTGTGAATGCATTAGGTTCTCATAACGCAGACCCAGAGCGTCTTGGCCAGGAGCAAGATAAAAAATACATCTGCACCCAAATCGGGGGCGTCCGATGCTGAGTCTGTGATTAATCGGGCGCCCCAATGTTGATTCCGTGATTAATCGGGTGCCTCGATGTCGATCTAGTGATTAATCGGGGTGGCTCGACGTTTATTCCACGATTAATCGGGCGGCTCGACGTTGATTCCACGATTAATCGGGTGCCCCAATGTTGATTCTGTGATTAATCGGGTGCCTCGATGTCGATCTAGTGATTAATCGGGTGTCTCGACGTTGATTCCACGATTAATCGGGTGTCCCGATGTTGATTCCGTGATTAATCTAGAGCTGCCACTAACGACTATTTTTATTTAGATTAATCGATAAATTAGTCCATAGATTAATCTAAATTATTAATTTCCCACAAAAAATCAACAATTTTACTTAAGAATATTTTATTAAACTATATTTTATTAAACCAAATGAAATCCAAATTTCTATGAAATCCTTTTTTTAAAGCAAAAGTAAAGTGCAGCATAGAGTGCATCTCATAGTCAGAGTTCAGTATTATAGTGTAAGAATGACAACATGTCCACGTGTTCTAGTCTGCTACAAAAAACACTTTTTAAAGGAGTATTTACCAGACTTTATTTAGGAGAAAAATGTAAATGTGCAGTATTTCTGAAAAAAAAGAAAAAAAAAACTTTTTTTTTAAATCAATTAATTGGAGATACTTTTGATTATTACAATTTAATGGAACCATTAAAATGGAATCCAGAAAATAATGGAAAACAGAATTTGGT